GAGGTGCAGAAATTTACAAACTTTATGGTCTTTCTGATTTTAATATGGGTAGGCTAGAACTTTATTAGCATTGATGTCAGGGCTCTGACAGAAATATTCTAAAATACATACTTCTGTTTACTCCACAAATGTGTTGATTTACGCCTATGTTTATGATCATTTTCATGTTTGACCTAACCTGTTTTATACAACAGACAGGTATCCTCAAGTTTTGCATTAAAATGTCTTTGCAAATTCTCTGGTGCTTTAGTGATTGCAAACCACCAAGGGCATGCAGTGATTTTTTTTTGTTCTGCAGGCAAAATGCTATGTATAAATATAACAATTTTCTGCGCTTCCCCTTGACCCAAAGCTATTTTAAATTTTTACTTGTTATGAGGCTAGGCCTTGTGTGAACCCGGTTCGCCTATGTTCCCCCAAGCCCGCTCCAAACTCTGACCACCACCCCCTTCTTCCAACCCAATTAGTGGGGGTATTTGCAGGGGGGGTTATTCAAGGGGTGGAATGCGCCTCCCCACAACTGATTGGGGGGGGGATGAGGGGATGATGGTTAGAGTTTTCAGTGGGCTTGGATGAACTCAGGTGGGTTTCCACCAAGCCCACCTCCATTATAAGTTTTTACTTACCTGCATCCCATGTCTACAGCTGCTGCAATAATAATATCACATGACCAAAATATTGCAGCGCCTATACAGTCAATCCCCATAGACTTCTGTGGGACAGGTACCTGAGTATATAAAGTCAAATTATGAGGTTGTTTTTATAAATAATAATAATAATAATGTTTCTTTAATTAAATCATGTATAAATCAAACATTTTGATTCAAATATTTAATGTCGTATTTCCATTTCAGGAAGTTGTCTTGGGTATCACTGATAGGTCACGTTTATTTATTAATAATTTGGTGGTAAGTTTTTTGTTTTTCTTTTTAACTCTGTAGTCATTTAGCAGCTGGTTGGCTTCACATTTGGTTAATAAACATTTCTTCCCAATCCTGACAGGTAGCTACCAATATCACTTCCTTTGCAATATATGATGACTTCCTACTTTTAACTACCCATTCTCACACCTGTAGATGTATATCTCTCAGAGAAACCTCACAGAAAGGTAATCTTTCAACTCTGATATATGTAAAGTTCCTCCTTTGTTAGCCACTGGTGGGTGTCTGTCACCAAGTCTTGGAGTTATAATTTTATGTGATGCCCTGCTGGGAAAAGAGGAGATAAAACTGATATTACAGCAGCTAGTTTCAAAGTTGGCTTGGCTAGACTGCTCTTTAAATAGACCATGTTACACTTAGCTGCTACAAGGTATTAAGTTCAGGCAAATAGAGGGGCAGCTATCATTACCTTCTGCTATGGCTGAATATTTAGCTGTTTTGAAGGGCCAACTCCCCACTATTTCCTGGTTGTGACAGAGTTTGCATGCCCAGTCCCACCTCTCACACATGTCTCTTGGCCAACAGGGTAGCCCATTATGGCAGATGGCTAATAGGAAGTCTGTGGGAGGTGTTGGAACTACCCTAAAAATGTCAGAGCTTTGCCCATTTAGAATGATATTTGGGCATTGCAGAGGGTAGTGAAGCTTCTGCAGGCTGAATAAGATCTACTTTCTAGAAACTTACTTAGTGTGCACAATGTGAACTTTAATAAAAACTATTGAACAGTAAAGTATGTGCATCCTATAGTGTTAGCTTAGGCCAGGGCTGATTGGTTAACACCAGCTGTCTCCAAAAGTGTTTTATACACTGATTTTCCATTCCAGGTCCCTCTGTTTCTGAAACTAAGCAAGGATAGTATTTAAAATTCACACATTATGTAAATCAGTAAGGCATATGTCAGCACCACCAAGTCATGTTGTTAGGGTAAAACGTACAAAGGTGGCGCCATCCTTCTGACCAGAAAGGAACATGACAGCATTATCAGGAAGATTTCTGTTTTTATACATACATACATACATATTACTTGCATGTAACATGAAATAATATATATCTGATGTCAGGTCCACTTGCGCAAGTACGATAAGAATATAAACTGTGTGTGCTCTTTCATGTTAATGTTTGCTTTTGGTGTGGTTTGCAGTTAGCTTTCTTGGTCAAATCCACTTAAGACAAAGATATACTATACATATGCATTAAAGACATTTGGTATTTTTTTTCCTGAGATGCCCTACAGTAACAAAAAATGATGCCTTGTTATGGCTATTTCATTGCACAGCACTGGAAGCAGTCCTGAGCAGCACGTCCAGCTCAAATGATGAGACCATTCGAAAAGTGGAAAGAGGATCTCGGGTTGTCACAGTAGTTCCACTGGATACCAAAGTCATTCTACAGGTTTTTTTGACCTTGTTATTTTTTCCATTTTTTTTTTTAAGACGACGTCATACAAAAAGTTGTAATATATAATTAGATCATAGATATGCATACAGAAAAACTAGCATAAACTAGCTTTGCACTACAGCACCATCTAGTGCTCAATAGTTAGTCAGCAACACAATCAATATGCCGTTGCATCTCCAACAGTAGTAACGTAAAATACAGACAGTGCAGTTTACAGTATTTGTTTAGCTGTTTGTTGAAGTACTCAATGTCGGTACATCTTTGTATGTAGTGGTACAGATACCTGCCTGATAGCGGTGCATCTATGATTTCTCTCCTCCTGCTGGGCGCTGCTCTGTGTGCCAGCGGGGAGGAGAGAAACTGTCACAGAAGGCTGAGCGGTCCTGGAGGAGGAGAGCGCTGTGAGCGGCCGGTGTCTCTCCTCCCCGCAGTGCTCAGCCTCCTGTTAAAAATCAGGAGAACGGTGGTGTGGGCAGAGACAGCTCTCAATGCTGTCACAGGAGGCGGGCCGGTGGTGCGGGGAGAGTAGTCAGCTGTCAGATCGAGCTCTCCTCCCCGCACCGCTCACTCAGCCTCCTGTGACAGCCGATCCAGGATGGATAGCGAGTACAAACACTCAGTGACCGCTGAGTGTTTGTAAATAATTTAGGACATAGTATGGTTACTATAGCCTCAATTATGAATGAATGGGAGTGATCTGCATCACCTCCTGTTCATTCATGATTGTGGTTATAGTAAACACACTGAAGGGAATTTATCAAAACTGGGGCAGACAAAATCTGGAGCAGCTGTGCATGGCAACCAATCAGCTCCTCTTTCATTTTCAAATCTTAACTGAACAAACTGAAGAAAGAAGCTGATTGGTTGCCCTGGGCAACTGCTCCATATTTTGTCTGCTCCAATTTTGATCAATTCCCCTCATTACATCCACTAGTTTTGAATGACCAGGAACACTCAGTATAGAGGATTCCTGTTCGTTTATAACCGGGGATGCAGAAAAAGATTGTGAGGACTCTTCTCAATCTTTTTTTTCTATTTTAAAAGGGAAATATCAGGGGTCTGTTTAGACCCCAAATATTTCCCCGAAGCCCCCGACAGTAAAGTAAAAAAATTAAAAATATTTTATAAAAATATATTATTTTTTTTTTACATATAGTTTTTATTAGATTATAAACATACAAGGGGATGTTGTACATCCTATGACTCACCTCATGGTGATAGTGCATTACAATCAAAGCAAATCGTAACATTTGACAAGTTCACATTGTGATGTAAGAGATGAAATCAGAGCTAAACAACAGTCAATTTTAAAGCATTGCAATGTGTGGAATTATGGCGGATAGTATGAAAAAGTTATGTTCGGCATAATGAGCTTCATATCATACAATCTTAGCGTCTCGCTATTGTTTAGGCCAATTAAACCTTATAGGCATAACGAGCGTCTGAAAAATACTGGTTATAAGTTCCTGAGGTATAAAAATTATTTTAACAAAAAAAATGTAAAACCTTTAAATACATTTGAAAAAGTTAGAAAAATAAAATTTTTGGTTTCCTGACATTTTTTTTCCTTTTTGTTGCACCTCTGCTTATTTGTCTTTTCTTCCCCAGTCTTCTGACAGTGGGCATGTTTACTAAGGGCAGATTACTAGCTCTCCTATTATTTCCTGATTTTTGGCACATGTGACTAGACATGTAACTAGGACATGTGACCACACACACCATCTCAGGGGAGGAAAATGCCTTTCCCTGAGATCTTGTGAGATTACAGATAAGATTTCCCAGCAATGCTCTGCTGATGACAAGGCGATCCCAGTGTGCATTGCTTTGGCAAACTGAAGTCATTTTGCCTTTCAAAGCAGGAATTGAATGCTCTGCAAGTGTAAGTATTTCAAATCACAGCATTTTACACCTGGCATGTCTATGTTATTATTAATCATCATATATAGAGGGATGCATTGATAGAATTAGATTTTTGAGTGTAAAGGTCCACTTTAAGTGCTGCAATCGTGAACTTGATTAAATAAATCCGACTACTTTCTGCAGTGGATACAAATTAAACAGCTGGTAACTTTTCCACTGCTCTTTTTTCCTGTAGTATGTTTTTTTTGTGTGTGTGGTATTTCTGACTTGTAATGTCTTATGGTTGTTATTTATTTGTTGTTATTTATTTTCTTAAACTGTTTGGCAATACATTCTAACAGATGCCACGTGGAAATTTAGAAACCATTCACCACAGAGCTCTTGTCCTTGCACAGATACGGAAGTGGTTGGACAGGTGAGTAATCAACTACTAAAGTAGCAATGACATTTAAAGAACTGTACAACATATATTTAAAATACTATTTATATTGTGTCTGTGAAGGTTCTCATTCATCAAGGCCATGGTATATCTGTAAAAATAAGGCAAAGCAACTGGACTTGCTGTATTTTTTTTGAAGACGTTTCACTGGTCATCCAACCAGCTTTCTCAATTCAGAATCACTTGTACAAAAATTCTCTGGGAATATATATGGCGAATGTTGCTCCAATTCACATAATCTGTTAGTCACAACCAGGTGTTGATTGCATTTGCATAATTGGAGTCTAGGAGGTGTTATTAACCTGCCCAGAGAGAGTGTTAAAACAGCATTGTATGTGGCAGACAATAGATGTCTCACCCCTGCACCTTTATTCAATCTTGACTTCCATTTTTACGTAAATGGCCTCTTTTTCAAAATGGCCGTTTCACTGGATGACCAGTGAAACGTCTTCAAGAAAAATACAGCAAGTCCAGTTGCTTTGACTTCTTTTTTTCCAGATATACAATTTATATTGTTTCTGCACCTATATGTGCAGAGGTACAGTTTAGGCTTTATGTGCTACTACTTCTAATCAGTATGCTAGGATTGTTATTTCCCATTTAGATGTAGACATCGAAATATCCACAATGGGAACTTTTCTTAATTGTATCAACTATTTTTTCACTTATTATTATTTAAAGGAGAACTATGGGGTCAGTGTTTTTCCCCATAGTTCTCCTTAGGGTAACGGGAGGACACAAACTAGCGTCCTCCCGTTACCCTAAGCTCAGTATACCGCGAGTTACAGCTCGCGGTATAATGAGACGCTGCAGCCGGAGCAGATCCCGCCTTAGACGACGGGATCCGTCCAGCTGCGTGCGTGACAGCTGGCTCTGCCTATCTAGAGGCAGAGCCCGCTGTACCCGCCCCCTCCCCCATCCGTTCCGCCAGTCAGCGCTGGCAGATCGGAGCGGGGAGAGGGGAATCCAGCCCCTCCCCCTGTCGCGGCAGAGAGCCGTGACAGGATCGAGAGGTGAGCGAACCCGGTATGTGTTCGCTCACCTCCCGATCTACTGAGCCGACCTGTGACAGTCTCAGCAAGCACTCACCTCATAGTTCTCTAGGGCTGCAGCTAACGATTATTTTCATAATCGATTAGATTCTCCTTTAAGGGCACAGTGGAGATTGTGAATTTCTGACCCTTTGGTTACAGCGCCTCCTTCAGGAGTTGCGGAAAATAAATAGACACCGGCACTCCAATAGTAAATCGATTACGTCTATTTATTGACGTACATCAAAAGCAAAATAACACACTTAGTGCGACGTTTCGGGGACAGACAGGAACCCCTTCATCAGGCAAAACAAGTGGAGTTGGACACTAGGCAAAAAAAAAGGACAGCTTAGTGGCAGCACCTGATGGTGGCTAAACTCTCCCCATAAAGGCAGCACAATTTTTCACCTAGTATCAAGGAGTAAGGACCTACGTCCTTCTGGGAATCTTCGTTTTTTTTTCCTTTTGCTGGGAATTCTTTTTTTATTTTTCAAGACCTTTTAATCAGCAGATAAACTAGGTGACAGGCTGGATAATCTAGATCCTTGTAGTTCCCCAGCGTAGCTACTGGGTGCATGCAGAAACTTAGATCCAGGAAAAGACAGACCCCATACTTAGCTAAGGGCATCCTGTGAGTATTTCTTACAGTGGGGCCCTTATGACTAAGTGATAACCTCTCTCCTTCTCTATGGGTGGAATCATTGGCATCATGCCCTGTCACTGGAATGCAGGGCAATATGCAGCATGCTTGCGGGAAGACTTGACTCCTCCCTTACGCCTACAGAATACGTTTTCAGGGTAAGGTGGGCTTATGGATCCCACCTTCCTCTCTGGTTGTGGCAGCGATTTGTTTTTTTATTTTGTGCTGGTTGCTTGGGCTTCTTGCCAGGGGCACCTAAGATAGCTGGACACCCATCTCTAGGGTACTTAAAGGGTCTGCACTTCCCCAATGTGCTTACTTAGTACCCTGCCTGTCCTACATAGTCTTGGTTACTCAGGTAGCTACCTCTGGGGAGACCTAAGAGGTCTCCCCGCAGGTAGCTGCCTTGGTTACTGATTAACCAAGGCAGCTTCCCTCAGGGAGACCTCCTTCACAGGGCCTTCTTCAGCTTGCATGGAGCTCTGTGTCTTTGCAGTTATATGGGCCATAATGCATAATGTGCTTCTCTGTGGACACTGTAATCGTATCTTACCGCCTCCAACTACAGGATCTTGTTTTGTCCTGCTGGCATCCCTGCAGACTCCTAGTCCCCTGGTGCAGAGACTCTGTGTTGACTTGTTTCTAAATCCTTTCAGGTGATGATGTTTCTGAGAGCTGCAGGCCACTGCCATAGCTTCTAGGTTTAGTAAGATTATATCAATTCTTATTACTGCAGTGCATGCCACCAAGAACTGGACGAGCAGCATCTAGTGTTTGCTAGTACTGCTATACCTATCTAGGATCTCTTGGGAGGCTGTAGACTATTAGTAACTTTCCGATGCACACCGCCCTATCATACTTCCCCATAATTTCACAGTCCCATATCCCTTTTGGGCTGTTCCTTCTGTCACTCCAGCTCCACCATTTAATATAGCACTGATTTCTGTGGAGGATGCTCCTGTAGTGGGATTCCATGGATATGACTGGAGGTTCTTACCAATGTCTTGCTTCTCTGGCAGGTCCTGCACACAACTTGCCTTTGGCCGTTATGTAGTCTGTCTATAATTTTTGGTATAGACTCCAGATTGATCGTACTTGTGTAGCGTTGAGAGCACATGTTGGTTACCCGACACGGGTTTGTTGATATTTCCCATCCCTTTTTTTTTTTTTTCTTGCACGTGAGTTCTTTATCTGTGAATATGCTGAGTGCTCATAGTAAGACTGCAGGCCAATGTAGTAGGTATGTTACGGTATGTGTCTCTTCGGATCTGTCTTGGACAACCATCATTAAAAGAGAGCTATGGGGTAAGTGTTTTTCCCCATATTTCTCTTTAGGGTCATGGGAGGGCATATACTAACCTCCTCCCTTGACCCAAAGCTCAGTATGTCGCGGGCTATTGCCTGCGATATACTGAGAGTGCCGCAGCCGAGACGGATCCCAACAATACTGTCCAGATCCACCCAGCTGCGTGATTGACAGCTACCTCTGCCTATCTAGAGGCAGAGGCAGCTGTGCCCGCCCCCTTCCCCGTTCGTTCCTCCACTCAGAGCTGGAGGATCGGAGAGGGGAATCCCTGCGGGAAGCGGTGACTGACACCGCACTCTGCAGGGAGACGATCGGGAAGTGAGCAGATTGGCTGCCTGTTTCTGCTCACTTTCCGATCAGTAGAGCCGACCTGTGACAGCTTCTTTGTCACAGGTCGGCTCTTACTATGAGGATTAGTGGAAATCACTCACCTCATAGTTCTCCTTTAAGTATGTCCTTCAGGATAAGTATATTTATTACTCCAATAAGGAATCCTGGGCCTCCATCTGAGATATCTTGTTTCCTCTGCTGATCTGCAGTCTAACCCTCTTTAACCCCTTCGTGACTGACGACGTATAGTGTACGTCGCCAGCATCGGGGCTGTTTAAACAGACTCCCGGCGACTTTTGCCACCAGGACTCTATTTAAACTTGTAGAGCCGACTGTCGGCTTTACAACAGAAGCGATTCTGGCGACTTACCTGTCGCCAGATCGCTTCTGTGTCCCGAAGAAGGGGCCGCGCCCCCCCCATAAAATCAAATAAAATAAATCTAATAATAAAAAAAATGTAAAATTCCCCCGCGAGCACGCGCGTCGCCACGTAAACACGCGTCGGGTGCGCCTACGTATGAAAACGACAAACGCGCTACACATGTTGGGTATCGCCGCGCACGCCGGAGTGAGAGCAACAATTCTAGGGCCAGTATTTTGGGGTATCTCTAAATTGATGACCTGTGGGGGCTTTTAAAGCGTCTTCTGTGGACTTTGTGGGGTACTGCAGTTTTTCGCCGTTTCACGGACGCACGCAATTTGTAAACTGGGCATGTTGGGTATCGTTTTACTCGTTGTAACCTCATATTTTATATTTCATTTTAAAAAAATGGGTTTTTGTTGTGTTTTGGGGCATTTAATTAAATTTATCACTAAATTTTGGGGTTTAATAAGAAGTTGCGCTAATATTGCGCAACATAAAAATTTGCAACTACCACCATTTTATTCTACAGGGTCTTGGCATTCAGAAAATATATAATGTGTGGGGGTTTTAAGTAATTTTCAGGCCTAAAATGTGGAATATAACATGGGTGCAAAAAATGGAAAAAAAAAGGCCTCAGTCATGAAGGGGTTAATGTGTGTGGATGCCTATGCTCCCATTTTCTCGTAGGGGAGTGGTATTGTTACTACTTGTGGACATCTGTTCAGGAAGCATCTCGGATGTTTGGCAATGGGAGATGGCTTTTGGGGGGTTAATATCTAGAGCTCTGTTCTCATTCTCCTCCCCTTTTCATGTCAAACGACCTACCTGCATCTCCACACAAACAAGGGGATCTCTATGATGCTCTTTTGCTTCCAACATTTGTTCTATCCCAAACCATTAAGGGGGTATTGGGCCTGTCTGGGTTCTAGGCTCTATATGTGTTTGTCCTCAAAGCTTCCACATGGACACCACCAAGTGTGTCACAACCTCCTTCTTTAGGAAACCATTTTTTGTGGGACCTATGGCCACCCAAGGCGCATTCTTATGGGTCCCCCTTTTCCCAGCAGATTGTCGGTATGAGCATTCAGCACTTCCTGTTTGAGTCCCAACCTTTGGGGGCCAGTCTTGCTGCATTTCCAGGGCAATTCTTATGTGAGGTATCTGGATGACCCCCTGTTCCCAAACAGAACTGTACATACTTTACAAAGCTTGGCTGAAAATTAAACAGTCTGGAATTAGTGCTGGATCTGATTATTGCTTAGAGTTTCTTAAAATGATACTGAGCATTGCGCAAGCCAAGTTTTTTTTTTGCCTCCAAGGGGAACTTTTAACTCTCCACTCTTGAGATTCTCACTATGTCGGTTGAGAGCTGCCTGATTCTGCTATCCTGCATGAGGCTCTTGTGTGTCTGATGGTAGCCTGTTCTGCAAAAGTTTTGTTGCTCTGTTCCTATCCAGCACTATGCTCGACCTTCTGTGATTTGTGAGGCTGCTGTAGCCCAGCCGACTTGCTGGATACTGAAAATCCTCTTTTCTCTGGATTGGTGGCAGTGGGTATCCAGCCCTGTAGTTTGGGTAAGCCTTCCTTCTCCCTCAAGCCTGACTGGCTAGGGAAGAGTCCAGGTCAGTGCAGGGGAACTGTACACCAGTGGAATCCTGTCTCCCGTTCTACGTTTTGTAGCTTCAAGCTACTTAGTTGCCCCTACAACACTGGCCCTCCCGAATGGAGGGTCATCTGTAATGGATCAGTGGGACAATGCCTTGGCAATGGCATACATCAAACATACAAGGACACATCACTTATATGCCTCTTGGCACAGCTGCATGTTGCTTATAGATGAATGCCACTTTGTTGGATAATAGAGGTTGCATACAAATACTGTATATATAATAATCTAATCTATTTAACTGATAAATTGACTCCAAACATGTTGATTAGCAAAGAGTCATGGCGGATACTGTGTCAACTATGATCGGTTCTACGCTTCCATAGTATACGTGGAATGCCTGACAGAAATGTAGAAATATTTTTAGACATGTCTTTTAGTATCTAATAAACATGCCGTATGTTGCTGTAAGTCTATTGATTTGAGCTGTAATTGAGATGTTTGTATTGATGCAAGTAACCATCAAATAGCTGATTTAATTGCCTACTAAATTGTAGTGCACAATAAAGCTCATGGGCTGTTCATTTTAGTGCTAATGTTATCCTTGTGGTGGGCTATGGAAACATGTACTGCACACACAGCACTGTCTGTATCTCTTTCTGTTCCTGTAACTTCTGATCTGGGGTAATAAAAGAGAATCTTAAAAGGATTTTGGTAAGGAATGGGTTGAAGGCCACAGCTTAGCTTCAATCACATTTATAAGGACATTGATGAGATTAGGTATATATGAAGCCTTGTTTATACTGTGAACATTTATTGCTCAACCATCGGTTAGCCTGAAATTCTTGACATCAAAGGTTCATTGTTTCTTTGTTGATTTATTTTCAGTTGTTTAGTCACATGCTTCTAATGGATGTGGTTTCTGTGGTACTTAATAAAAATGGATATGAAAATAGGTGCAAGACCTGCTTCTTGCCTGCTTGGCTTATTGATTCAAACTAATGCAAAATACTTAATTTGTGATGTGCCCCTAAAATCTTTTTTTCCCTTTCAGTAATTTTTATTAGTTTTATCTTCTTACAGCTGTTACAACAGCAATCATAACAGTATAATACTGCTAATATAACATAAACGAAATGAACATTTGAGCAGTAATCCATGAACTGCAATTATATACAAAATGTACAGTATCTCCTCGTTGACCCAGAATAGAAATGTGTGTGAACTCAAAGGCAGACCTAATGAGCCTAGACCATATGGAAATTGAGAAGAATTCTAAATGTTTAGGTTTAGCATTAACCAACAGTCAGTTAAAGCTACTGGAATATTTTAAATGGGTATTGTTATATTAAATATTGCATAGTAAAAGACTCAATGCAATGGCATATTTTGTGTCTCCACTCATGATTTAGGCAGAGTGGGTAGATGTCATGATACTTATTTTATCTTTTCTAGTTTGCAGTTTAAAGATGCTTTTGAATGTATGAGAAAACTGAGAATCAACTTTAACTTAATTTATGATCACAATCCAAAGGTATGATTTTCTTTTACACTTTATATTGATTTGCTTGTTTTAATATGTGGTATGGTACTTAGCATTTCTACTGATGTGTTACAGGCTTTTTTGGACAACGTGGATACATTTGTCAGGCAGATTGACCTTGTAAATTATATAAATTTGTTTCTTACTGAAATAAAGTAAGTATAATATATATATTTTGCTTGTACCATATTTGTTTTTTTCTGTGTAGTATCACCTCAGTAAGTAAAGTTCACATATATTACCTTGCCACTTGGCATTATTTTCATAATTTTATTAAAAATATAACATTTTAAAAAGTAGAAATATAAAGGTACTTTCTTATTTTTATAAATGTTGTCACTGGAGTAGTTAGGTTATTGGAATGCATTTGTCAAAAGCCTTAAAATTACGACTGGTAGCTGATGTTTTTTTTCCAGCTTGTTTGTTTTTCTATAGTTATTGTGGCATAATGAACCAACTCTGCTGATTTAATTTTTTTTTCTTACTTGTGTTGTAATGGTTCCTAGCACATTATTCAAAGGAATTTTGAACAATAACCAGACAAGGCATTTTGAAAATTAGGAGACCATATATATTTTTTTAATTCATTGTTTTCATTGTTAGAGTTCTTGCTAATGGCATAACTTTGTTCTCAGAGAAGAAGATGTGACAAAGACTATGTATCCCACCCATACAACTTCTGCCACGACATCTTCCCAGACACCTAGAGCTAAAAAGGTTGATATCATATGTGATGCTATCAGAGAGGCCATGGAAAAACTCAGTCCTCAGAAGTATGTGTTGTATTTATTTCTTACTATTACCACACGAAATCATATTCGAGTCTGACAGAAATGTGGAATGATTTGTTTGAATACATCCCGCTCTATTTTTTTTTAGGTGATTTAGTATTAGCAAAAGTAAGCCTTCATGTGAAGAAATAACTACTTGACCCTCCCAGGAGGACACCTTACTTGAGCGCCTAGGGGATGTTTTTGCCATTTTGTTCTATTTGTGCCTCAGTAACAGTAGTTGAGCACTGTGCTGCGTAAAAATCGGTAGTTCAACCAGAATACCTCCTGCATTACATTAATGGCTGTTTATGCCATAGCTCATTTGGTCACATTTCTGGCACACCCTTTTGCTTTTTTGGTGCAGCTCAGTAATATCCTTATCAGTTCTAAGAACAGCACAATCCGTTTAGATGGCTTTTAGAAGCATACACAGCTGTTTTCTTCTTGGTTCCTTGAGTTTTTCTGGCAAATTAATACATGCTGTAGAAGGTGTGCTGTAAGGTGTTGGCTGGGCTAATGTGTGCCCAATAGCAAGCCCATGTTTGTGGTACCTATACTAAATGATGGCTGGAGCAGCACCTAGGATCTCAGTTACAGGGTCCTCCAGAGGGATCAAGTAATGATTTCTTCACTTTCCCCTCCTTGTGCTGTTACTAAAGGAATTTAAGTGGAGTGGAGATCCTCTTTCGTTATTTAAATTAAGTAAATTGTATTTATCATCCCAAGATATTGGCACATATATTAAACATATGGGCTTCTCTATTATGAATGTGTTTTCTTTGTTTAATAGAGCCTAGATTAAAAGAATGTTACACATTTCCTCTGTCTGTCTTTTGGCTTTGTTACTTTATTTATTTACTCTGAAAATACAAAATAAAAATAAAAAAATGAAGGAAAAGAAAAAAATGCTTTTATTTTACAACCTGCATTAAAAAAAATGTCTGCTGGAATCTGACTGTTACTGTATATGCAACACCTTAACCATATTGTAAAATACAGAGGAAAATGTATGCGTGTATCTGCATTTGTTTTTTTTAATGCTTTTTGGAATGCTTACCTGTTTTTCTGAATTGTTGCTAGTCTTCAACACTTTGCACCTGACAATATAAATCATCCTTCTCCCTTTATTCTCTTAGATACTTCTTATCAATCCTCACATCTTATGTCCGTAAAACTACCCCAGAGTTGGAAACTGCTCTTCAGAAAGTACATGAACTCAGAGGTAAAAGTTTAGACTTTGTCATAATACTAAAAAAAATTTTTTTGCTTGTATTTAAAGTGAACCTGTCAAAAAAGAAACATGGGGGTGCCATTGCCTACTGCAAGTAGAAGATCCCGAGCTGCTGTTATCCTCCTTGCTTTAATACTTATTTGTTAAATGTTGTTAACTCACTGTTAACAGTGAAATGGGCATACTGTTCTAAGATGGAAATTTAGAAATGGAAAATAAATAATCTTTGGTAAATGTGCCTTCAAAAACAACTCGGCATTGACAGCTTCTATAATATTATTTTGATCAGTGAATCTATAATGTATTTTCCAGTTAGTAAAATGTTTGAATTATTGTAAGGTTTGCCTGAAAGTAATTTATAACATCATTTTATATCTTTACAACATTTTGATTGTAAAAGTTCCAAACTTTTTCGTTCTGGATGTAGAGTGGGAAAGGTTTAACATGGAACTTGACTTTTGATGTGCACAAATAAGTTACATCTAATAATGGTTATCATTGGTCAAGATGGCTGCTGTGTAAGGTAAAAATCCTGGTATTCATGCTGGTGCTGCGGTATGTGCTGCAGCTCTTATACAGTGAAGGGATGTTGTTGTTTACCTTTCCTCTCCCCTTGCCCATTCACACTTCGTATTCTGTTCACGGAATAAACTTTGCTTTGTGAATGGACCGAGTAAGAGGAGGGGCAGATAAATGACAGGAACTCCACTTGTCAGTTTACAATACGCCTTCTAATGATAGTGCCCTTGCTACAGCCTTCTTTCATATCCATTGCCTTCTCTGTCTTGTCATCCTAACAATGCATTTTTCAGACACTTAATTTTTTATTTTTCTAGTTTCTGCAAGCTTGTATAACGAGGCAAATTTTAAGCACCCAATCACAACTATTCTGTTTGACAGCAATAATCTAAAATCTTTCGAGTTCCTAAACGGGTACATCACAGTTGCTGTTTGTTGCTCATTTAAAGTGACACTAAACTCACGAGTTGCATCTTAAAAATGCATTCAAGTAACTTACCTATTACCAAAAATGCAGTTTATTTCTGTATCACTCAGCTATAGATCCTCAAACCATCTCTGAATTGGTGCTGACACTGTCCTTCCTTCTGAAGGGTGGCTACTTTTCTTCCCCATGGTTCCTGTGTGTTGTAAAGTAGTCACCGCTCCAAGCTCACTCCCTTGATGGACTACAATCTCATGATTAGTTTACTAATAGACCATAAGTAAAATATGACCTAAATTATAGCCTATCACGGGAGAGAGCTTGGAGCGGTGGCTACTATTGTATTCAATTTATTGTAATTAAGGATTTAGTTTTGTAACAATTGTTGTGGATTTACTGTAATGACGTATTTAATACCCCATACTTATTTTAAAGAGAATCCATCTTCACATGAAGGTGTCAGTGCAGAGGAAGCTTTAAAATATCTGCTTTTCCTTGTGGATGTGAATGAGCTCTATGATTACTCCCTCGGAACATACGACTTTGACTTGGTCATCATGGTGGCAGAGAGGTCTCAGAAGGTTGGTAACAATTTTTGGCTGTATGTCATTAAAGGAGAAGTCCACTTTAAAAAGCAAAAAAAAATTAGATGCATGCATAATTATTTTAAAAAAAACTGCTTTGTTTTATATCCACTGATCACATTGCAACCGTGATCAGTGGATGGTGGGTGTGACAGGAAACATGGTTTTAAAGGTCAACTTAGCCTTTAATGTACATTATTTCTATTGCAAGCACATGAATATGCAGAACTGTAAATGTTTTTTGCTTGCCTTGCGTATTCTTTTATTGTGTTTCACATTTGTAATGAAAAGATAGAAGATACTTCTGAGAATAAAAACATTTTACATAGTACTATATTTTTACACTGTCTGATATAAAATAAAATATAAAAAGCTGATTTATTTTTTAAGTGTGTATTATTGTTGGACATCTTGTTGTACTATTAAAGCTGGACTGCTGTCACAAAAACACTCTTTTTAAATATATTCCTCAGTAGGCGCAAAAGATATAAATCTACTTTGTGTGCACCAATTTCCTTCACAAACCAAATTATTACCTTGTAAAAGTAGCAGTGACCTCATCATTGTGCTGTATATAGTCTAAACAGTAGCGAGTAGAGTTGTGGTCGAGGCCCTCTACAGCAGGGATGTCCAAACTGCGGCCCCCCAGCTGTGGTGGAACTACAAATCCCATGAGGCTTTGCAAGATTCTCACAGACATGACTCCCGGAGAGAGATGCTTCATGGGATTTGTAGTTTCACCACAGCTGGAGGGCCGGAGTTTGGACATCCCTGCTCTACAGGCTGCCTGCAGAAAACTACTGGAGGGGATGGATGCAAAGCCAGTCACCCTGCACAAGGAGAGCAGTAGTGACTGGTCTTGATTACAGGAAGCTCCTGTGCAAAAGTTTCACGCTGGAGTACTGCACAAATCTGGAAGAAATACATAGAGCACACCAAGATTCAAGTAAAAATACATACGCCTCTTGTATTTAGATAATATTTGATTGTCCCAGAGTTCAGCTTTAAGAAACCTGCTACGTTGGTACCTGTCTTTCTGTGAGACGTCACTCCCATGTTGCCTGGTTCTGCTCCAGTGGCACTCCAATTGTTTCTCTACTATTTTCCTTTTATCACCTCTTTCGGTTTAGGACCCCAAAGAATATCTCCCTTTCCTAAACACACTGCAGAAGATGGAGTCGAATTACCAAAGATACACTATAGACAAGCATCTTAAAAGATACAAGAAAGCTCTGGAACATCTTAGCAAATGTGGTAGGAGAACTATTGTTTTTATTAGCAGCCAGGATCTAGTGGAGATTTAAAAAAAAAAGCATACCTGACCCAAGCTGCATAAGTTTACTTTATTAGTCATGTAATAGAACCATTTCACCCATGTTCTGTTATCAACTTTCAAACATTTTCATTTTGACTGAGTGACCAGCTTAAAAACATGAAAGTTGATTCAAAAATGTAACTGCTGGCTGGAGGGTAGAACATTTCTGATTTTGAATATTCTAAGGTAAAAACTAAAATGTCTACTTTTTGGCATCTCTATTTGATAGATTCTTTAACTCAGGATAAGTTAGAATGGAAACGTACCTGAAATGAAAAATCATCCTGAGTGTACAGCCTGTGTTCAGTATGCAATTTATCAGTGTCCTTGTGTACCTTGTATTTGGCTGCTGATTCTACCAGTACTGGTGTGAATGTTTCATTTTCTGTGAAGGGCTGCCAACAATGTGATAGTGCTACTGAGTATGCAACAGTTTGTCAGTTTGTCAGTCAGATTCTCCTCATTTCTTTAACCAGTTGACATCCGCGGTGTTAAACCCCCTTCCAAAACTTTTTTTTATAGGTTACTTTTATTTTATTTTATTTTACTTGTTTATATGTGACTTTTATTTTTTTTTATTTATATATATATTTTTGCACTTATTGTTATTGCTATTATATAGGGGGATAATGGGGGTTGGCGGACGAAAAAACGGGCACATATAGACGATCGGCGGGCTATGGAGCCGCCGATCGTCTATATGTGAAATACCCGGTAACGGATTGGTGCATTGGTCGGGTCCTTTCTGCCAGTGCGCGCCCGCGAGCAGAAAAAAAATGCCGTTTGGAGACGGCAACCCATCAATGCTGCAGTGCCGTCCGTCCGTTTTTTTTACAACGGGCGGGCGGCAAGTGGTTAAGGCACCATCATGCCAACATCCCCCGCCCTAGAGGCATGGTGGTCGAGAAAAAAATGCCGACACCGCCTCCAGGGTTATGGCATTTACTCCCATCTCCCCTTGTCAGTAGATCATGACAACTTCCCTTACAGGAAGTAGCCTGGCCAAGGTATGGGTGGTCATACGATCAAGGGCAAAGTAATGCCTTAAACAATATTTAGAGGTAGATTGGCTTAAAAATGAGCAATTGCTGCAAAGGATTTGTCTTTACCGTAACGTTCTATGTTTCAGTGTTTATACTTGTCATCTACTTTTAACCTCTTTAATATTTATTTCTTAGGCCCAGAGCATTTTGTAGAATTTTTGAACTTGGTTAAAGATCAGAATCTATACATTGAAGCCTTGAAATTTTATCCAGCTGGATCTACTGAATATAAGGTTAGTAACAGCATTGTATGGCACAAAATATTCACCATTATTACTTTGGGTCTCTGGACCTTGTCTGTGACATCATTCTCTTTTATATCTAAACAATTTACTATCAGAGTAAAGGAAACCTGATCTGAGAGAAACATGGCAGCTGCCATTTCTTCCCTTTTCTTCTCAAAAATGCTAGTTGACGATGTTATGTTGGACCTCTGGTTTCAGTACTTTAAGTCCCCCAACCTGAAACAAGAATGAAAATAAGGTTTCGGTTGCTTTCTTGATCGATGTACTTGTTCCAGGTCAGTAAATCATTGGCTTCAACTACTGAAGCCAGAGGGTCAATATAGCAGCGAGGCATAAAAGAGGTCGGCATTGGCACCTTCATGAAAGGTTTACTTTAAAGTGTATTTCCACTTTTGCAGTCAAATTTGAGAAACCCCACTATATATGTTTGTGTTCCTTTTCACACAGTATATGTAAAAAGATTTTTTTTCTTTTAAATATATATATTGTTTTTAATTTTACATATGTCTTTGGTGAAAGCACTTGAATGTTTTATTCTTTTTAAGTTATGCAATGGCAATGAGAATATGTAACAAATATAAAGTAAGTGTTATCCCAATTTGACTGCAAAAGTGTAAATACACTTTAAGCCTAATCTTCCACATAGCTGGTTGCGATATAGTGTATGCTCCACATCTGTTCTGTACTGTGGAATCTATCGGTGCATGTTTGACTGCATTACTGTATGGTATTTTTTTGCTAAAGAATGACCTAAACTTATGTTTTACAGTCTATCAATGATGCTTATGGGGATCATTTATATTCAAAACATCAGAATGAACAAGCTGGTCTCATCTTTGCTCGTTGTGGAAGTTTGGAGAAGGCTCTTGATGCTTTTGTTGCATGTAGTAGCTGGCAGCAGATACTGTGCATAGCTTCCCAACTGCAATTCCCCGAGGATAAAATGGCTTCCTTAGCTCGGAGTGTGGCAGGTGAGGGGATCAGATTCTCTGAAGGGAATGTATTTTTAAAGAATTTATGTTAAATATATTCAATAACATGTCAAAGTTTCTTTGCGGCAGTTCAGCATTTTGAAAATTTTACCATTAGTACAGTTGGACTTGCTATGATTTAGAAACTGCAAACAGCTGTTTTTATGCAAACATTTGTGGATTCAGGGAAATTCACTAATCAAATGATGTGGAAGCAACGAGAAACCCAATAGAGAAAGTAGGAGCAAACCATGTTAACTCTTTCAAAACTTTCTTTTAAAGGTTTGTGTGCCACATACAATATAAGGTAGCTTATTGTATAAGGTGCTGTGTATAATTCAGTTGTTGTTTTGCTGTTTCCATCCAGGCAAGCTGGTAGAGCAGAGGAAGCATGAAAATGCGGCATTACTTCTGGAACAATATGCTGAGGTATAGTCTCATTTTGGTTGCCTATTTTGACCAAAGAATAAGGGCCAATTTACACTAACGTCACGTGGTAACGCGCGGTATTGCACATTACATGCAATACTGCATTGCAGTGCTATTCATTTTGAATGGCACTCAAACTCACCAGGGCAATGCTTCTGCTTTGTAGAGTGCATCAACGCATGGTATTGAGTTGTGTTGCGTCTCAAAAAACGGTCACGTCCGTTTTCTCCATGTTAGGGTGCATTGGTAACCCAGTCATTTAACCCCTGGGTTAAATGACTGGGTTGCCGGCCGGCTTCTCTGGTGTCGGGGGGGGAAGCTAGTGAGGAGATTGGCGAGCCTCCATTCACCGATCTCCTCCCCGTACTATGGGACCGGGAGCGACGTGTATTACATCACTTCCAGTCCCTGAGCTGTCATTGCTGGGCTCCTGAACGTGCATTGAATGTGCGATCTGCACTTCAATAGCTTATTTAGAGTGTCAAGGTGACACTAGGGGTCTTTTGGACCCCCCAGTATCACATAAAAGAGGACTTGTCACCACTAATCTGTTATCACATGGGGGGCTGGCATGTGATGGCAATTAAACTAAAGTTTTTAAAATTAATATTTAAATAAATGTAAAAATGATAATACAAATTTTTTTTACAGTCCCCCGCGAGCACACGTGTCTTCACGTAAAACATGCGTCGGGTGCACCTACGCATAAAAACGACGATTGCGCTGTTGGGTATCGCCATGCATGCCGAAGTGAGAGCAATAATTCTAGGGCCAATATTTATGCATATATCTAAACTGATGACCTGTCGGGGCTTTTAAAATGTCTATGGACTTTTTGGGGTACTGAATTCTGTGGCCGTTTCATGGACGCACACAATTTTTAACCTGGGCATGTTGGGCATCTAGTTACTCGTTGTAACATCATCTTTTATATATTATAAAACCAAATGTGTATTTTATTGTGTTTTGGGGCATTTAAGTGCATTTTTCACTACATTTTGGGGTTTGATAAGGAGTTACACTAATATCGTGCAAGAAAAACAAATTCAACTGCCACCATTTTGTAGGGTCTTGGCTTTCAGAAAAGATATAATGTTTGGGGGCTTTAAGTAATTTTCAGGCCTAAAATGTGGATAACATGTAAACAAAAAAGGAAGATTAAAAAAAGACCTTGGTCACGAAGGGGTTAAATTGACTACCTTAGGCAACACACGTTAATACACAACGTAATGCACATCAACGCTCCACACAGTCTGAAAGGGCCCTAAAAGTTTTTCTTAATGCCATTGAAAATGTCTGTTCTCTGCAAGAAGTTATACTAGACATACAATAGTACATAATGTTATTTATGGTGATACTGTGGTCTTCCAAGCTAATAATTGTAGCTCTTTGGAAATTTTTTTGGGGGGAATATATCAAAACTGGCTCAGTTGCCCATGACAACCAATCAGCTTCTCTCTTCAGTTTGTTCAGTTACGATTTAAAAATGAAAGAAATAAGCTGATTGGTTGTCATGCACTGCTGCTCCAGATTGTCTGCTCCAGTTTTGGTCAGGATTTTATGAATTTTATTTATATGTAGAATGATTTCTCTTTAAAGCCAGTTGGATTTGTCTAGGTGGGTGACAATATGTACTGCTCTGGAAATAACGTATATATTCTTTTCACGTAACTAAGTTTAGGAAGCTTTAGGGTCTGTGTCCACAAGCTCCTGGCTTGTGTTGATGTCATCAGTCTGAGATCAGACTTTATTACGGGGTGTATTTGACCTGCAGTTGACCTACTTCTCACCTGTATTGGACCTTCAAGAGGATTTTTTACTCTTGTTGGCAGTTTTGAACATGGCTTCAGTCAGGTTTTAGACCGGACAGTGGTTGTAAACTTGCTCCCCTCGGCTCCTCCAGATAGAGGGTTAATATACAGAAGTGTGCCAATTGTTGATGGTATTAGGCATGGGAAATGCTAGGTTGTCCTGTACCAGTTAGTTTGTCATGGGTAAGAGATAAAAGTGTCTTTTGGAAATTCACAGAAATTTGGAGGTCCAGAAGGTTTCGTAACTGGGCTTGGCTGGTATTATTGACGGGTTTGTCATGTTAATCCGCTTCTTTGTATAGATCACATAAATTGTTTGGATTCTTCTACAACACTCCCATAGACGTGTGGCACAGGGCCTTACTCTGTATACTCCTGCAGTTCATCTCACCGACCCAATGCCCTTTTCCCTAAAAAACGTATAGAATAGGAGGTTGTGCAAGCTTTCTTAGAACAGTGTTGTATTTGCTTGTTGCTGTTAACAATACTGTATTTATTGTAGGACTATGAAGAAGCAATTCTTTTGCTGTTGGAAGGAGCATTCTGGGAGGAGGCCTTGCGACTGGTAGGAATGTTTGAAAAAAAGAAGAAAAAAAAATACTACTCTGCAGCTTTGTTGACTTCGATACCTCAGTTGTATGTTCCAAGTACTGGATCATAAATTGAACCCAGAGCCAATATTGGAGTTACAAAGCGCTATAAAGAAAATAAAGGTTGAACCCTGTCCCTTGTAGTTCTTTCTTTATGTGGATTAGGTTAGGGTTTCATTCCCCCACTGGGAATTTGCAACTCTTTGCGACCCAGTGAGAAGATATTCTTTCACACATGCCAAAGCTATTCCAAGCCAAGTTAAGCTCTTTGCAATCACGCTTTATATTCACCTGAAGTACATATTCAGATCCTTTTACTAATAATCCACTATTCTGCCAACGGACCCTTTATAAGGTGATATGGGCATACATGTCTTTGCAAGTTGTGCACATGGTTCTCCTGAGTTCAATCTCAGGGTTAATAAATGCTGTTAGGCCCATCTAATGTGTGCCTAGATAACTAACATTAGGCTGCATCTGACAGGATACAGAGTTGCACTAGTGCAGGGAGAAAAATGGTATAATGAGTTTTTGGTGAAACGTAGGAATTACGGAGCCAATAAAGGTTAAACTAGATGATGTGTGTTTTTTTTTTTTTCTTTTATTCCTAGACACACAAATACAAACGTCTTGACATAATCGAAACAAATGTGAAGCCTGCAATAACTGAAGGTAAATTACTCTGTGAAATGCATTGTATGTATAATACATAGATGAGCATCATTCAACAGTTTAGTTAAAAAAAAAAAATGTGAATAAAGAAAATCTGTCACTTTTTGGCATCTGTAATCATCTGAATCTCCACTGTCCACACTTAAATTAAGTTTACTCAATTGAGTGTCAGACAGTAAGCCCGTGAAAAAAAAAAACCCTGTCGGATACAGAGGTGGGCAAATTTGTTGGTACCCTTAAAGCTCATTTAAACAATGCTTAATTCTTCCTGGAAAGTGTTAAATTAAAAAATAATTGTCCCATCTTATACCTGCATGCCTTTGGTATTCCATTGACATTTCCTCCTGTCCTGTAACTGAAGGTTTGCGACAGACTGCCCCCAGATCGCTTCTATGATCCAGTAACCGGCCGCCCTGACAACCCCGTCGTGTTTCCTGGGCTCCGCTGCCCATCTTCTGGGCCCAGGAGCGGCTGGTCGGGTGTCAGCGGGAAGCTGGAGAGGAGATCGGTGAACGTCTGTTCACCGATTTCCTCCCCGTTCTATGGGACCGGGAGCGACGCGTATTACAATCATTCCAGTCACATAGCTGTCATTGCTGGGCTCCTGAAGCCCAGCAATAACCTACTAAAGTGCGATCTGCCCATCAATAGCTTATTTATAGTGTAAAGGTGATACTAGGGGTCTTTTGGACCCTCAGCATCACCTTAAAGAGTAACCGTCACTGCCAATTTGTTATCACATGGGGGGCTTTTAAGCCCCCCTATGTAATAGCAATTACAACTATATTTTTTATTTTTAAATTTACTTTAACAGTATAAAATAAATGAAATGTAAAAATATTTTAAAACATTTTTTAAAGTCCCCCGCGAGCATGCGTGTTTGGTGCACCAACGTACGAAAACTATGATTGCGCTACACATGTTGGGTATCGCCGCACACACCACAGTGAGAGCAATAATTTTAGGGCCAATCTTTACACGTATCTCTAAACTGATGACCTGTAGGGGCTTTTAGAGCATCGACTACGGACTTTTGGGGGCACTGAAATCTGTCGTAGTTTCAAGGACGCACACAATTTTTAACCTAGGCATGTTGGGTATTTATTTACTCGTTGTAACCTCATCTTTTAAATTTTGCAAAAAAAATTGTTTTGTATAGTGTTTTGGGGCACTAAATTTAATTTAAGTGCATTTTCACAAAATTTTGGGGTTTGATAATACGTTGCGCTAATGTCGTGCAACATAAACATTTGCAACTGCCATCATTTTATTCTATAGGGTCTTGGCTTTCAGAAAATATATAATGTTTGGGGGTTTGAAGTAATTTTCAGGCATAAAATCTGGATTATAACATGGGTGCAAAAAATAAAAATAAAAGGCCTTTGTCCTTAAGGGGTTAACATGTGCTGTTTAATCAAAATAAGTGTAATTTTTCATTAGTTTTGTCAGTTTCAAGTTATTCAAGAGAAAATTGTGGGTTCTTTCATGTACCAACATATTAGTCCACAGCTGTAACAAAGGCGCTGTCAGGATTGCGATAATTTAAAGTAAATACTTTTTTAAAAGGACATTTTGACCTTCTCCAGCAGCCTTTGTGGAGTTTTCGTTATCAGGCACGGGGCTAACCTATCTTCTGACTGGGAGGGAATACAAGAAAATAATAGCACACAGATGGGTATTCCTAAAAGAGAGGTTTTACTAGCCTAACAACAAGAGTAGAGATTGGATGGACATGGGATGGTTATGATTATCCTTGCTACAGCACCTAATATTTCACTAACCAGGAACCAGCATTTGGCCTGTGAAGTCAGGACTTCTGTAGGTAGTGAAGTAGGATCCAAGCCCTGGAACTTGCAGCTTTTAAAACACTTGTCTTATAGTAGATGCCCTAACAGGTTGCTTAAGTTGACTACTTCAATGAGAGTGCGAGATATGATTTTACCACATTATTTATTGAAATAACCATTTATTGTTTGCTCAGCTCAGAAGAGTCACATGATATACCTGGACAATCAGAAAACAACATTCGCTCGGCACAAACAGCGCCTGTCTGTTGTACGAGAACTGAAGGAGAAAGCTCGACAAGGCTTGCTCGGTATGTACTTTGATATTTCTATATACATACTCTCCAGCTTTGAAACCTTCAGGAGCACCTTAATAACCCACCTGTTCAGACAACCACACAATCTGTATGAAGTTAATCTCCCCACTGACGCATCATTGCTTTCCTATCTGACAAGGTGTGCATGATTTCTTAATATTCAGCTATTACTTGTGCCTCACCTCCTTGTTTCTTTCCCTGTAGTGCTTGGTCTCATGACCTGGAATAAAGGCTGGCCATACATTTAATAGTGTCTCTCAGTGCCAGCAATTGTATTCAGCAGCCGGAGCTCCCACGGCTGCTAACTACCTGGACAGTGATGCAGGCACTATTGGGCAAAAACATTTCCGACCAGCTCCTTCGACAAAAGTTACAAAAATCGACTTTTGTCAAGCCGCTCATTGCTCAAATTTCAATAATTTCATCAGGAGCCATTAGAAATATGCTCAGTCTATGGCCAGCTTTACACTCTTTTTACAGTTATCAGATCTTGAAGAGATCTCCAGTTGCCTCTTCTATCATCCTGCAGTGGG